GACCTCATCTTCAGTTACTATTGTTGCATATACATATAAAGAAGTGTGTATTGTGTATGTGTGTGGGTGTGTGGGTGTGTGTGCAGACACACAACCCACTGAATCCATTTATTGTCATTTACATGCATGTGTTCAGGATTGACCACTGGGAATTATGTAATCTGTCAGTGAGCTTGACCCTAGAGAAGACTGATTCTCCTTCTTTTGGCAGGCATTGGGTGCCTGTGGCTCTTCACCTAGGGGTGGGGCCTTGTGAGACTCCCCCCATCCACACTGGCACGCCAGTGGGTGTTGTCGTGCAGGTCCTGTTTACGTGACCATATTGCTGAGATGTCAGGCACAGCTTCTCTGTCATGTCTAGAGGACACTATCTCCCAGCAGTCATCCAGGTCTCCTTGCCCTTACAATCTCCCACGCCCTCTTCTGCAAGGTTCCCTGAGCATAGGGATTGGATTAGAGACGCCTGTATACCCCATCGACAATTGTTCTCTGTATTTTTGACCATTTGTGGATTTCTGTGATGTTCTCCATCTACTGCAAGAAGAAACTTTCATGGGGGGTGAGAGCTACACAATCAGGCAAGGCTGGGGCAGGAGCTGAGTGACAGGAGCCAGGCCTGGGAGTGTGGGAACGGGGCTTCAGGTGAGGCTCTGGTAGATGACACTTTGAAGGCAGGAAGTCCTCTTTCTTTTCCCGGGACCCACCAAGATGCTGGGTTTTCACCATGAGTCTGTGTTATTGATGTGCAGCGCTACAGAAGAGCTGAATAATCAAATATGAATTAAGCTAATGAATAAACCAGAAACATCAAAACACACAAAACCTCATTCTCCTTACCCAGAAACCATCTTTTTTTTTTAAAAAAAAAATAATTCCCAAGATTGCCAAAAATCTTTCATTTTTTATTTTAAAAATGCATTCTGTCAATGTTTACTGGTTTTTCATTGTTTTTGAGAGTGTGATTTTTCTTTTTCTTTTTGTAATGTATTCCTATTGGTGTATTTTTATTGTACCTGGGAGTGGTTTGGATGGCAGCATTTCTATACAGGTATAGGCGTGCTTTGAGGATTGTTCTCGCACCCCCGACATCCATCCACTTCCTCATTGGTCCTCTTTGTTCCCCTAGACAGTTTTGTTTCTACTGACATACCATGTGCTCATATGCAATTCGGTGTATTTATATAAACCTAGGAAGCGCAAGTGAAAGAGAACAGGAGCTGAGGCTGAGGCTGGGAACTTCAGAGGTCTTTGTCCTTCCCCAGACATCACTGGCTTTTGGTTTTCAGCCTGCTTATATCTGGAACATCGTTCCTGTCTGAGTTGTTTCACCAGTCTTTCTACCTTTCGTGACTAATATCAGCTTTCTCCTGTGACTTCCTAGTCAATATTCCCACACATGTACGTCTGTGACACCCTAGTCAATATCCCAGCACATGTGTATTTACTTAAATTTGACTGTCCCCCTGCCTTGCAGTTAAATGTCTCAGCCTTGACCAGACCCTTTCTGTCTCATCTATCTACAACTCTGCTGTGTGGCACCAAGAATGTAGAGCGTCAGCGATGTTCCCTGGCTGCACATAGATGCCCTCTGCTGCCTTGAGAGACTTAAGGCTTTAAAGAGGGGAAATGTAAAATCCTTTTGCCAGCAGAATAAAAGCGAGTTATCAGTGGACCTGTGAGTACAGACAGAGCTGTGATGTGTGTATTCTGTTTACCTTAGCTGTCATCTTTCTGGAAGATCTGGGCTCTTCTGTGACTTAGAGTCATGGTGGAAAGTGCTTGTAGTTCCTTAGTAATTTCAGTCATGCCTCAGTGTACCTTTAGCTGAATCTTTCCACTAACCCGAAGATGTTCTAATAGATATTGTGGTGTGGAAGCTTCTAGAAGTAGTTAATCAAAAGGAGTTATAGAGCCGGCCTGGGCACAGAGCTGGAGGTGTGACTGAGTTGGATCCTCTTTCATGCTTTCCTTTCTGAGGGGCCTTTTGGCTTCCCCGCGTTAGTCAGCTTTTGTGACCATTTTAGTTTCGTTTAATGACTACGGCAGAGACTGGGCTGGGAAGTTGAGGTTTATGTAATCTTGCCCTTAATTGAGCATTAAAGAGGAAACTGAAATCTGAGAAGTCCCTGATGCCAACAGCCCAGAAGCCCTTGGGCTCTCCAGTGTTATAATAGGACCAGACCTCACCAGGAGACAGATCATTATTTGAAACGAAACCACACGAGCTGGAGATAAGGTCCTCCTTTGTCCTTCTGTTAGATACTGTTGTACTAGTTGCTCATGATTCATGGGCGTTGCCATAGCGACAGGAGAAAATTCACTGGGAAGTGGCTGTGACAGAGAGTGCACTAGAGAAGAACGAAAAGGCCTACACATCATTTGTTCATAGGACTTTGTCGGTAGCCTTTCTGTTGAAATAGGAGCGGCAGGGCTGCGTCCCCGGCACCAGGCCGCCCACATGGCTATCTTATATCCAGAAATAATTACACGGAAACTGTATTCTTTCAAACACTGCCTGGCCCAGCTAGGTCCAGTTTCTTATTGGCTAGCTCTTACATATTGTTCTAACCCATTTCTAATATTCTGTGTAGCCCATGAGCTGGCTTACCAGAGAGGATCTTAACCTGTGTCTGTCTGGAGTGGGAGCATCATGGCGACTCACTCACTCAGCTTCTTTTTCCCAGCATTCTCCTCTGTCTACTCCGCCTACCTAATTTTCTGTCCTATGAGGGCCGAGGCAGTT